CATATCCTCCATGTGCAATTCTTCTAAAGGCTTAGAAACCTACGTCAAGCTACAACTGAGAACAGAGGTCGTAACTAGAAGAGATAATTGTTTGCTTTACTTCTTTAGTTACTGTTCTATGTTTTCAAAAAAATAAGTTAAAGAACTTATTTCAAAATAGCAATAATCTATATGTATATAATGTATAATAATTGAAATGTGACTGTATTTTACAAAATACTAGTTGACTAAAACATATGCAATACAAGTTACTTTGTCCAGACCAAAGGTCACTTTTATGTTACTTGATAGGGTAGCATGAGTGCACGCGAGTAGTGTCGTTGTAACTTCTGTATTGTTAGCTAGGCATGGGTAAAAGGTCAATATAATAAAAATAATAAATATGTATAAATGTACAATGTTATGAGATTTAAGCTATTTCGTCTAAACATTTATGTTTGTTATAATTTATGTTCATTCTAGAATCTAGAATGAAAAGCATAATTCATATTTATTTCCTAATTTTTTTATGGTGGTTGAGAGATTGATCAAATCTACCAAACCTGTACAGAGATTAATTACTGAAAATAACTGATAAAATATAAAGTTTTTAAGAAACGTTTGATAACAATCTGGACATTATAAAGTTTTTGTATGTGAAATTTCAAAATTTTCTGATGCATAAAAGTATTTTTTTATCTTAAAACGAATGTTAATTTGCAAGATAGATAGGCAAGAAAAAACGAGACACGAGAAAAACATTGCATGACAAACCTTAAGACTTATAAAAAAGTATTTTGCATATGAAAGCATTGTAATGTTTACTGATAATCTGCCAAATTTCATTAACATTTGCTTACTAACTTAAAAGTTATAGCATGAAAACTATAACAAGCACAAAATGGTTATGAGGTCAGTCCCACAGACAGAGCTTGTGCTGAAAGAGGTAAACAATAATGATTTAGAGGTTTCACGTTTCCCAAGAAAAAAAATTGTGTGTGATTTGTTGAAATATGCTAATGGCCTAACATGTGACCAAGTCAAATTGATAGAAGAAACAGTTGAAGAATGTTTAAATATAGGTAATAATGCTACAGTTGACATGGTGATGCATGATGATAAAGGTCATGACAGTGATAATGAGGAAGAAGTGATAAATGAAGATGAAGAATTAATTCATATACTGGAACAAACATTTTCATAAATGAGCAACATATAATGTGGATGTATAAAATATAAGGTGTTGGTTAGAGACAAGCCAAAGTATATGAAGCAATTAAAACTGCTAAACATGTTCAAAAAAAAATTGTGGACCGATGTGCTATAACTATGACTGATGATCCTGATTACCTTAATCCTTCAACTTTAAGCAACATGTAATCTCTGAGAATAAGATAATAAGAAGCTATTCTTTGTTAGCAGAAAAAAGGAAATTATATTAGTAAGTACCTGAGTACTTAACTATATATTTTTTAATCTGTATATTTTTGTTAGAAAACCACCTCACTGTACTACAGTAAATTTGAGATGTATTTATATATGACAACTTAGTATAGGGGCCTGAAATTTGGAAACTCCCAAAAACTGGTTAGCCTAATACCCAAAGCTTGCCAGTTTAGCAGTCTTATACCTGTACTGTGAATCAGTGTATGCAACTTGAATTTTAAAAAAATCAATACTCAAAAATAGATGTTTGATGATGAACTAAAATTATACATTTCTAAAAATCTGATGTTTTGAGAAATTTTAATTCCAATAAATCTTACTTACGAGTAGAAATTTTAAATGTGGTTGTTAAAAACCAATATTTCTCAGATTAAATGTACCTCAAAATCACAACAACAATCACTAATATTAATTATTAATGAAAAGGAAGGTTGATAATTAAAATTAAAAAATTACCCAAATAGTAACTTATAAACCAAACAAGTATTTTAAGGTAACAAATAAATATGTATTTATAACTCATTACAAAGAATATTTCACTTTTGTTATGCAGTTATACTGGGCTTCTACCATATTTACCATTGAGACAGAAATGTGTAGCAGTTATGACTAATATTCAGTCAATTCAAAACCACACAAGTTTAGCCATGGAAGATGAATCCATCTATAAATAAAAGTTATCTTTCATCTGCAGCTTATGTAACCCCTCCTCCTTGATAGATGTCCAAGAATAGGTTTTAATAAACTTCAGCAAAACATACTGACAAGTCAGAATATATGTACACATACAGTATACATATAACCATTAACTAAATGCTTACCTGTAGGTACCTATCCAAAATAGCAACAGTAAGATATAGAGTTTCTTGAAGAAGGTGAAAACGTAAATGAACCTGAACCAACCAGTCAATCAAGATAGATCGCATCTTTCCAGTGATCTCAGTCTGTTTATCTAAATGGTTTTCTCTGATGGAATATTTCATCTACAAAATATATATATAAAAAAAAAAATTATATTAAAAAAATATTCCAGTATTATTTTAAATAAAACAAGTTTTAAACTAATTTCATATTACAGGGATGGGAACAGGTTAAGAAGAAAAATTGAGGTTAACAGCAGGCACAGTTCCTAACAGATTCCATTGTCTAAAAGGAGAGAGAAAGGAGGGTAGCAAGTAAATTATTTTTCAAGGAAAACTAGGGCATTTTAACTTAATATTTAGATATTCATGCAAAATTCATATTAACATTACTGCTTCTAAATTATGTATCTCCTATATTTGTGCACTAATAACAGCAGAAATAAAAATTCTCACTTAAGAACATTTAATATTTCAAGATTATTCTTCCAATGTAATGTCTTTCCAGATAAGAACTAATATTTAAAATAAATGGTAACCATCTTCAGAAAACATCCACTGTTTTCCACTTTTCCACTGCCATTTGAGTTTAACCATCATTACTTTATCGAACAATGCAAATGACAACACAAACTTGCTAGTTCTAATATGCTACCTATCCTTCTTTAAAACAGACTATTGACGACTGTCCAAGCAGACCTAGAGACTCCAGTGCCAACTTCTGAGAGTTGTAACAAATGTTTTCTGTGGCATAATACAAAAAATTATTTTCAGCTTTTATTTTGTAAGGCTGACAATTTTCCATAAATTTCAGTACATTTAGATTTAATCTAAGAGATGTATGAAAGATGTTGTTTGTGCAACATAATATCACACTTTTTTGTAAATATTATAGTTGTATCTTTTTGTTGATCTATCTGTGGACAGATATGGTGAAAGGTTAGCTTCAACAATCTACGAGAGAATTTTGTTTTACAAGAACAGCTGGAGGTACATAGAACTAATTAAGTGAGAGTTGGGGTTGCCCATGTTTCAGGAGGATTAAGATCTTAGCTACTTGAAAAAATGATATAGTTGAGAGGATAGATGATGTTCAAGGGGCAAATAAGGAGATTACATACGTATAGTATTGGAACTAATGATATATGGAAAACAGTGAAAGAGCTACACGAAAAGTATAATAATATGAAAAAGCATTTCGGTCTAGGGTTGATAAGTTTATTTTATTATGTGGAGGTGGTTTAGGGATTACCATGATTTATCATATCTGAAAAAGACAGACCAATATTCTGCCTATATATGTAGTATGTTCTGCCCCCAAAAAAATAAATCACTTTATTATGCTTATAAATTATTGTTTGCCAACTTATTACATTAGCATAATGTGCTTCCTTACTCAAGTAGTGTGCCAAGATTTTAAACAGATCAATCAGACTAAACGACGGATTCAAACTATGCAATTCTGAAAAGGTTGGGTTGCCTGCATTTGAATAGGAGGAATGGTTGATGTTTTGCGAGGACTATTAACCTAGTTATTCAGGAGAATTTAAGCTATTAGCATATGTACCTTTGTGATGCATAGTGAGAGGTTTATGAAAGTTACCAAATTATTTATACAATTCATTTATTTATTTTGTATAGAATGAACATTGTTATATCTATAGCTACATCTTTACTGGGGTTTGTGGCTATGTATGCAGAAATTTCCCTAGAGTGGTATGTAGGTATTTTATTGCTAAATACATGGAGAGTATATCACTATAAATGAAATGCAACTGTAGAATATGTTTTTCCAGTTATGAATATAAAATGTTTGATGAAATGAAAGTGCATAGACTGTATGCATACCCCATGTAATGAAAGTACAAACTAGAGAAATCTCATTAGTATCCTTAGTGGCTACCCCCACTGACTGATCTATATTCAGTAATCACTAAAGCTATGAAATTTATGCCAGTAACTTCTTATTGACACATTTCAAACCATTCCTAGTTGACCAAACCATATTTAACAGGTTCAAATGCTAAAAGCTTAGGAGGAGTTAAAGGACAAACAAACTTATTTCAAATTATAGTAGAATTCTTACAGTAGTGAAGGAGTAACTGTACATTTGTGGAAATTTGAAAAAAATTCTAAGAAAATCAGTGAAGACTTAATGACAGTAGTTAAGTGACAGAGATAAAGCCAATATAATTGAAATAGGAGTATGGAGATCTGCACATGTTATAAACTCAGGATACCATCAGAATTAATTTAAAAATCCTTGTTATAGGTTTAGGTACTATTATTATTCAAATGTTAAAAGTACTAGAAATAAACCTGTTGAATTCCCAGCTTGATTTGCAGAGGATTTTGATGTTATTAGAACTATTGAAAATTGTCTTGACTTGGAAAACAATTGACAATAGAGATCATAATAAAAATTCTGGGTGCAACAGTGATGGCATGTTAAAAAAAAGAAACAAAAATCAGTACTAGTGTACCTCTAGATACAAGGATAGCATGATACTGTTAGGAAACTGCTATAGGCCACCTGATCGAATGCACAGGGTGCATGAGATACTTCTTAGAGAAATTATTAGGCTTGTGGTTTTATTGTATTGGCAAATCAAGGTTAATTTTCTAGATGTGGATAAGTAACAGTGCACATGTCACAGTTTTCTTTAACAGAGATATATTGAAAATTTAAACTACTTTATTATTAGTATGTCAGTAAACTTGGCATCAAAACATATACAATATTAAAAGTTTATTTATAAACAGTTAAATATTTACTTTTAAGATAAAAAAAAAATCAAGTAAATTCTCAATCTTCACTTAAGTACCACATGACACTTTGCTCTGAATTGCAGATTTTAAGACTTCCTTCAACCTCAGTTACTTTCTTGGTTTGAGATCTTACAAATTTATGTTAGATATCCCCGAACTAAAATGAAAATTGTTCTTCTTGCTTTAATAAGTTATATGCCATAAACTGAAACTCGCATGCCATGCTCCTCTTAGCACATGCTGTATTTACAAAATCTGAATAATTCTCAGACATTTGCTATTGGATTACTTATACACAATAGAAATAATTTTAATTCCTGTTTCCTTATGATGTTAGCTCATTCTTACAATTAGTTGAATTGTTTTACGCTTTTATAGCTTGCCGTCACTGAGATCATGGTGAATAGGTAAGGCAAATATTTTAAATACACATATAGATTAGTTAGAAAGCCAGTAAAATTATAATAGTTTTAGGACATTGTTTTTCGTTGTATGTTAATATTTTGTGTTCTGAAGTGCATATCTTAAATAAAGTATAAACAATGCCCCTACAAAAATATAGGATTAAATTTCATTATGACTCAGAACAAAAACTACAAGACCCACATGTAAGTACTAAATTCCTTGTTTGCTTTTATATATCTATATTTATTGTTATGAAAGTAACTAAAATGTATGAATTAGAAACTTATTAGGTTAGCTAAGAAAAATTAAATGAAAAATTCGAAAAAAAAAATATTTATAGCAAAAGCACATTTCATCCACATAGCAATTGAAATCTGACTGAGCATGCTGGTAATAGATACTGCATTTACATAAAGCTTTCCCTCTTTGATAATTTGCTTTGATACTAGTCTAAGTAGTAGTAAAGCAATAAACCTATATGACCAGGAGTTTTGAATGGGGGAAACATGCTAGTTATACAGTAAAGGGTGGCAGTAGTGATGCATTCCTTGTCTATAATGAGATCCCCCGATGTTTATATTTTTCACGTTCTTTGTCTCACCATGTTATCATATTTAATAGCTCAAAAATGCCTCAAATGACTTGTGTACCAAAAGGTCCAGGAGATGTCATTTGTAGCTTTCAAATCTGGAATTGTCAAGAAAGTGGTTTCATATGTTCACGTGGGACTAGTGGAAACTGAAGAAAGGAGTTGTTTGTCATGACCACTTCGTGCTTGACATCTAATACATGAAACTAGCTATGGCAGTCCTATGTTTAATATAGTTTTAACTAATTCTGCTATTCATTTATAAATTTAATCAAAATTAATGCCATTTTATAACATTTTTGTTGAGTCAAGTTAT